TATTATATGAAACAATTTCACAACCATATATGAAACAACTTCATCAAAAAAAGTATTATATGAAACAATTTCACAAGATTAAACAATTTCATGAAAAAAATTCATAAGATTAAACAATGAAATCGACAGATGAAGGTGGTTTGCACGGTTTACACAAATGAGGGCGGTTTTCATATGATCACTCCTCTATGTGTGTGTGTTAGGGGCGGAACCCCATAGGGTCCATGGCCCCCCGCTTTTATAGTTAAATACTATAACTAAGCTATTAAAAACATATACATTAAGTAGCTTAGTTGACAATGATGTACAACCTACATATTGGAGGTTGTTGTTTCAAATACCCTTCCCAAGCAATTTTTTTGCACTTTATATAAGTTATTAATATTTAATTATATGTATTAGTTTTTATATAATATATTAATTATATGAAAATATAAGTTTTTAAAGTAAATTACACCGGTATTACTATTTCTCGGTTAATACTTTGAATGTTTAAGTTTTTAGAGTAAATAATATAATATATTAGTTATATGTAAATAATGTTTAAATTGGTATTACTATTTTCCTGTTAATACTTTGAATATTTCGAGTTTTAATATTACATGAATCAATCTTTTTCTAAAATTTAATAGTCTAAAAACAAATCATTTGGATTTACAAATTTTTACAATATTATAGCATCTTCAACATATTCTTCAAAAAATTTCCAAAATGGATAATTAAAACTCTATTAAAACCAGGCTCGAGCTCCCCGCCCCAACCAATCTCCTATTGGCAGAAAAGTCGTTTCGATCCAATCCATTATTTGGGTCAAATAAAGACAAAAAATGATATGTCAGTGACCTATAAACCATTAATTTCAAGGATTCTTAACGGTATGAATATGATGAAAAAAAATGATTCTCTTTCATTGTAATCAATTTTTGTTTACACTCTCTCATGTTTTCTCCGTTTTGGAGAGTCTGTTGGAGCAAAAATATGCCTAAAATCTCCATTTTCTCAATTTTGAAAAATCTATTGAAGATGCTCTTATATTTCGGCCCCCCAGACTACAACGGTTGTGTTCCGTCCCTGGTGTGTGTGTGTGTGTGATGTTTACTTTGCAAACCATACAAACCTCGTTCAACCAAATAATTTTTCATTTTGTTCATTTTTTTTGTAGTTACGAGAGGTTAATTGATCATTTTTATTATGGAGGGTGTTGATCATGGATATTATCATCTTAATTATTTTAGTTTTAGAGAAATACATGAAACAATTTCATTAAAATATTATTAAATATTATATGAAAATTTTCATAACCATATATGAAACAACTTTATCAAAAAAACATTATATGAAACAATTTCACAAGATTAAATAATTTCATGATTTTTTTTCTCCATAAGATTAAACAATGAAATCGACGGATGAAAGTGGTTTGCACTGTTTGTACAATTTGGTGGTTTGCATTTGATCGCTCATCTCTCTCTCTCTCTCTCTCTATATATATATATATATATATGTGTGTGTGTGTGTGTGTGTGTATGTGTGTGTCTAATCAAATGAGAATTAGATAATTTGTGGTAACTGTAAAGTCCAATATGAGCCAATTATTTTAGATAATTAATGTTATTTACTAACATAAAACAAATGGTAACTTAGTAAATTGTGTTGACTATTCAATTTACTTTAATTAGTTTAATTATTTTTAAAATATGTATATATAAACACACACACACACACACGAACACACAGGGATCAAATCCGGTGGTCTTCTACGGCACCCACCACCACTACGGTGACCTCCTCTGGTCATCTTGTCTGACCAAGACGTCTGCTCCGATGACCGATCACTAAACACCCACCTGTGAGCATTCCCAACACCTGGTATCATAGTGGTACCATAGTTGGTATCACATCAGTCTCAAAGTTTACTTGGTGTGTTTTGAGTATCATATTGTGTGTATTTTGGGTATCACATTGTGTATGTTGGTGTATTTTGGGTATCACATGGTGTTCATCGGATGAGGGAGGTAGGAAAGAGAGATAGAGAGGAAAGATAAAAAATCAAAATACCTAAAATGCCTTTTAATTATAATTTAAGTCAAATTACCAAAAATATTAGTTTTCTAATTTATTTATTGATTTGTGGTTGAGATTGGATCTCACAGTTATCACAAACTAACCAGTTCTCCCTTGAACGGACCCCTATATATATTGATATTTTAAATGTATTTTTTATAATTTATCAGATAATATTTAAATACTGAGTTTTAAACTTACAATCTTTAATTAAGTTATCTGAAGAAATGATTGATCCTTTTGTATGGTTCATGACGTTGTAATGATTTTGAATCTGGTAGGGGATATGAAGATAAAACGTGTTGGTATTTTACGAACTTTCATGCCAAAAAGCTTGTTTTTTTACCAAATCAGTGTAGATTATCGGTAAATAGGGAAAGTATAAGAAAAGTAGTTAAATTATGTTAATATCTTCATCAATTTTAATACAGCTAGAAACGTACAAACGCAAGCCACAATGCAACGCTATATGTTTTGATTATGAAGTCAAGAACTCGAACCCTCGATCATAATTTATGTTTCTTTCTATTTTTCGATTTTATTTTATGGTTTTAAGAGACCGAGAGGTCTTAGGTTGGTATTTTAATAATTTTAAGAACGTGAGGTATGTTTTTGTAACATAGAAAGGATATTAGTACTTTTGTAATCAAATTTTTTTTTTGATTAACCTGGATATCCAACCCGCTATGCGAGCCGACTAATCTTAGGGCGACCACCTGCTTTGCAGATAGCCCGGAGTCACTGCATTTGAACATCTGTGGCCACAAGGGGATTTTTATTCCTCATTGGATTTGAACCTGAGACCTCCTGGTACTTTTGACATTTGGAGCCAAGCTCAAACCAATCAGGCACCACCCTTGTGATCACGTGAGATCAACCTGTTTTCATGAGACCCGTGATACCACTTTTTTACACTTGAAATTTCACAGCAAAATGCTGTTAAGGTAAAAAAAGTCGAAGTTTCGTAGCAAAAAACATTGTAAGGGTTAGCTTAATTCTTTTATAGTTGTATTCTTAAAAGGTTAAGAGTTTTTAAGAACAAAAATATAACTAGAAGAGTACTCATACAATACAGCGAGATACATCTCGATTTTAATGTTTCGTTTTATTTTGTCCTCTATCGATGTTATAATACGGTTTTGAGAAAAACGATAATGTTTTTATTTTTTAATAAAATATAAATTTGAAAATATCATAAAATTTTGAAAAAAAATATATCTATATTGATATCAAATTGACCATTTAAAAATTCTTTTTTTGTTGTGTAATTTCTTTAATTCATTTTTTTTATTATGATTTAATTTAAGTTTAATAATGAAGTAATTTATTTTTGATTTAATAATATAATTTTTTATACAGATAATAATTAAATATTATGTTAGAACACAATGATTATCCTAGTTATATTTTAGATTTTTTATATTTAAAATAAAATGTTTATTCTTGATTATGTTTATCTGCATTTAATATATGAATTCAAACATGAAGCTTTAATAAGTGGTACTTAAGCATTATTTTCTTGTAATATTGAATTTCAAATAATATACATCAATAAACAGTATTTCATATATAAAAAAATTGTTTTAAACGTTTTTGTCAAATGTTTTATAATATAGTATGGATATTAATATATATGATTTTTTACGGTCAAAGTAGTCTACTTCTCGTTACAAACCAATGGCTACAAAACACATAATAAACGTAAATTGAATTCATTTTTACAATTTCACATGTATCTTCAGATTCTTTTTGTAGTTCAAGATCCTCAATCAGATGATCGTCATTCAGTATAAACCTAAGGAAAAACAAATATATATTTTTTTTATATTTTTTAATAAATTAAAAAATGTAATAATTAAAAATAAACCATCAATACTAATTAAGCTATAAAATTGATAAAACAAATGAACCATAAAAACACCATATGGTAGGATATAATTTATTATATTTATATTATATGTATAATCCATTATTTATATTATAAAATGTGTCGGGTTTAGGGACGATTATGGGTTCGGGGACCCAAGGGGTATTCCTGTCTCCGATCAACTAATAATTTCCCTGATCAAGCTGGATTTGAATATTGACGTTCTTGTTCAATACGTTTTTTTGGGAGGTAATGACAAATTTGTCCCTTTTCGTTATTAGCTTCATTATTTTACTCCAGTTTTTAAAAAAAAGTCGAAGTGTTCTAATTTTTTGCGAGTTTAAAACGCAGAACCCGCATTTTTATGAATCCATCTAGAGATGGACAGTTTTTTGCCACTTTTAATTCATTTTTGCAAATATTTAAATTTTATTTATTGTATTTTTATCTCTGTAAACTTTCACTGTATTTCTCTCAAATTTCATATACATTTTATGTATTTTGATTAATTTATATAATTTATTAAATATTAATAATATAAACAAAATTTTTTTACAATAAAATATATGTCATTAGAAAGCTTAGTTATTGAATATTGAAAATATTTAAGTGTTATCTAATATTTAATATTACAAGCAAGGCACTGTCTCTTATCAGTAAACATCCCTTAGCTGATTTGGAAACCAAGGCACTGCCTGTTATCATTGTCATCGTTGTTATTGTCTGCGCCCTGGTTTTTATTCTTGTGGAAAACTCATCGTCATCGATAGACATAAGAAGTTTCTAATGATTGCTCGTTAACCCACAAATTCTATCATATTGTTTCAGATTTGGGGTTCCGATCATCCTTCTAATCTTGTTTTTCTTGATTCTTTAACCGATTTTGGGTTTTCTTGGACCTAAAGTTGGTTTTTTGCTCATTTTTGTTTCATCAAAAGAGAAAACCCTGGTCATTTCTCACAAAATCACCATTAAGAACACAAACCGTCAATCCTGTCCACCATTAGTAGAAGCCGTTAGTTGAGCAATGAAAGTGTTGGCAGCATAGAACTTTAAAGAACCCCCCAACGTGTGTTCGAGGACGAACTGGACTTTGGAGTTTGACTCAAACTCCACCAACCTCTGCTGAATGGGTTTTGGAGGGGAACTAACATGAGATGGGATCGGAGGTGATGGTGAAACAATTAGGTTAATAGCAGGGGAACGACCCCCTTCTAGACCGAATTCTTCGTCGCCGATGAGAACCTCGTATTGGAAGGCTGCATTTGATGAAGTTAAGAAGGTAAATAGTAGCAACAATCATGGGTTTCATGGCTGGAATAACATATAGACAAAAATTCGTTTGATTTCATGTTGTGAAATAACACACGTATATGTGAACATTATGTTTGGATTTCATGAGGTGAAATAACATATTTTATGAAAATTATGTTTTATTTCATAAGGTGAAATGACATGGTGAGTATGCGTGTTCATTTGGTGAATCTCTGTTACAAAAATGATAACTATGTCATTTTCTAATTAAAAACAACTTTCAATTAACACCAGGATCAAAACCAAATTAGGGTTTAGATCGTTCTCTTTTTCTCACACATTATCACAGGTGTGTGTGTATATATATATATATATATATATATTGATTTGTAAAAATGTCTGGATTTGATCACTCTTTCTAATAATCGCTAAAAATTTTCGTTAAATGTCAGACAATTTCTTCATTTTATCGATTTTTTTTGTCTTTTATCGGATCAAAATGATTTTATAATTTTGGTTCATGTGATTTTTTATTGAATAAAAAGACAAAAAAATCGATAAAGGAATGCAAAATGCCTATTAGTTAACAACAATTATAGAGCAAATTGCATGAAAAACAACGTATTTTAACTTGATTCATATTTTGAGTAACGTATTTTCAAAACTTTTATTTTGGTACCTAAGATGTAAAATTTTAAATATTTAAGTACCGGGTAACCGGTTGAAGTATTAACCGATTATCATGCTGATATGATTAGTGATTGATTTCCAACTCAGTATTATTTATTGACGTGGTTAATGACATAATTTTTTTTAAATCTAAAATTAGTATTCAATCAATTACCGAGATACTTAAATCTTTAAAATTTTACTTCTTAGATATTAAAATGAAAGTTTAAAAAATAAATTACCCAAAACAATTCATTCAAATTACAAAATTACCCTCCAGACCGCCATGGTCTCAAATAAAGGTCCTCTTTTAAGCCAGCCGTCTACGCATTTTATGTCTCCTCTCTTTTAACTCTGCGGACGAGCAGGGAGACCCTAAAACCCTCTGTGCTTCCCCAATTGATTTGGTTCCAAAAGTTTGAAATCGGATTCTGGATTTGATTTTGGGAAAGGGTTTATTAAAAGATTTGAGTTATGGATTTGGAAGAAGAGTATGATCAAGGATACAACGATGAGGAAGAAGATATAACCCAAGAGGATGCTTGGGCAGTTATTAGTTCTTATTTCGAAGAAAAGGGTCTTGTTCGTCAACAACTCGATTCGTTTGATGAATTTATTCAGAACACTATGCAGGAAATTGTTGATGAGTCTGCAGATATCGAGATCCGACCTGAATCCCAGCACAATCCGGGTCACCAACCTGATTTTGCAGAGGTTCGTTGTGGATTATATCTCTGTATATAGTTATAGTTCTGCTTCTAGGGTTTTGAGTTCATTTTTGGAGAAGAATTCTTTCTAAATTGGTTGATTGAAATTCCTCTGTGAAAATAGTTACAGAAGCTTGGCATTCTCGGTTCTAGGGTTTCCAGTGTAGTTTTCATTTTAGAGGAAAACACCAATGTAGACTCCTTGGAATTGTTTTGATTCGTGAAACTATCTGAAAAAGTTGGAAATTGTTTGACTGGATGGAATTTTAGAACCAGATACTAATAAAATCCGTATTTAAATTTTATCAAAATTTGAAGACACTTGCAAGAATAGGGGGTGGTTGAGTAAGCTGTCTAAAATCCCATTTGGATTTGATTGAATTAATGTGAAACTATTGGGAAAAGACTGTCTTTTTATTTATCATAAATCTTATTCTAAACAAAATCCAACATCTGAAGCACCAAACTTCTGTGTACTTCTAAGGAAATTGAAGTTTGCCATTTCGTTTATGCTGTCAAAAGGGCTTGAGCTTCGTTATTTAGTTGGGTTTTGGCCGGTGAATTTAAATTGAATATGTCACATTGACAATGATTCTGAAGGTTTAATAAAGAATACAAGTGACATTTTGAGTCTCTCCTTGAACAAACTGCTGCAGATGCCACTTTGCAATTTCCTTTAAGATTAGGATATTTTTTCTTTTGTACACTTGATCAAGAGCTATTCATGCTAGAGTAATTCGGCGAAGTCACTGACTTTTAGAACCCATTTATGGTGCTTTTCCCTTGAGAGAAAAAGGCAACTTGTCCCTTTAGGGGACTTATGCTAAAGTCTTTTTGGCAATGCCACTGACCTTGAGAGATTATCTATGGTGCTTCTTCATTATAGAAGAAAAAAAAAGATGGGGACATTAGGGTACTTATGCTAGCGGCAGCACATAGATCCATTCTATATGTTTGCCTGAAAGGAGAAGTTCAAACATTCATGTGATTTTGTCTTTAATCACTTGCAGACTATCTATAAGATCAGCTTTGGTCAGATTTATTTGAGTAAGCCGATGATGACAGAATCAGATGGTGAAACAGCTACATTGTTTCCAAAGGCAGCAAGGCTGAGGAATCTGACGTATTCTGCACCATTGTATGTTGATGTATCAAAGAGGGCTATAAAGAAAGGGCATGATGGTGAAGAAGTCACAGAAACTCAGGATTTTGCCAAGGTCTTTATTGGAAAGGTATGCAAAATAAATTCCCAGTAAAGAATTGGTATGTTGAGGTGCAAGTGTTGACTTAGCTAATTAATTGCTATCACACATGTCAGGTTCCTATAATGCTACGGTCAAGTTACTGTACACTATTTCAGAATTCAGAAAAGGACCTGACAGAGCTTGGGGAGTGCCCTTATGATCAAGGTGGATATTTCATTATCAATGGGAGTGAAAAGGTTCTAATTGCTCAAGAGAAGATGAGCACCAATCATGTCTATGTCTTTAAGAAAAGGCAGCCCAACAAATATGCGTATGTGGCAGAAGTTCGTTCAATGGCAGAATCTCAGAATAGGCCACCCAGTACCATGTTTGTCCGGATGCTTTCTCGGACTAGTGCCAAAGGGGTATGAGATGTTGATAATATATTCCAATGATAGTTATCGTACAAATTTCTGCCTACCTTTAGTAGATAGTCTTATAGGTATCCTCTTGTTCACTGACTTCTTCTACAATTGCAGGGCTCCTCAGGTCAATATATTCGTGCCACCCTTCCATATATTCGGACAGAGATTCCTATCATTATCGTGTTTCGAGCACTGGGATTCGTTGCTGATAAAGATATATTAGAACACATATGTTATGATTTTGCTGATACTCAAATGATGGAGTTGCTACGACCTTCATTAGAAGAAGCTTTTGTAATTCAAAATCAGCAAGTATGCTTCTGCCTCCTTTTTTTTTTTTTTTTTTTTCAGTTTTGTGGACATTTACCCAATCATTGTTTATAATAGGTGCAGGATGATCCCGTCATCTGTTGCACTGAAATATCGATCCCTTAGTTCTTAATCTTTTTTCTTTTGATAATTTGACATCTAGTACATTTTTTGGTTTGTGATGCTTTGGGCAAAACTAAACTTAATAAGAACCCACTACATCTATACTGCTATCTTTGCCAAGATTTATTGGAAGGAACTATTTTTTTATTGATAGGTTAGGCATCTGTGACATATAGAGGTTCATTGAGGACATTCAAATTCTGAGTTGCTACTTGCAATTGTAATTATTGGTTTGATTACTTAATGATTATTGTAATGCCTTGTCATTCTGGCCTCTTCATTTCTAAATTAAAATCTCTGATCCTTCTTTCTCTTATTGTAGGTGGCCCTAGATTACATTGGGAAAAGAGGTGCCACTGTTGGTGTCACAAAAGAGAAGAGAATAAAGTATGACCTTTGTTCATAGTGTCTTAGGTAATATGGTTTTTATCATTCTCATACTTCTTTTGTGTTCACAACTCTTGTTCATTCACAGGTACGCACGTGATATCCTTCAAAAAGAAATGCTTCCTCATGTGGGGGTTGGAGAGTATTGTGAAACAAAGAAAGCATATTATTTTGGGTAAATCATATTTGTTCTATATGTGTCTGCTGTTTTATTATTCTTCTAGTTTCTAATGTCTCTATACTCTCATCAGATATATCATCCATCGTCTTTTGTTATGTGCTCTTGCCCGGAGGGCTGAAGATGATAGGGATCATTATGGCAACAAGAGGCTTGATCTTGCTGGTCCATTGCTCGGGGGTCTGTTCAGAATGGTGGGTTTTTTTATTTTTCTCTTGGAAACTGGATTATTGTATAAATAAGTATTTGTATTTATCAACTTGTTGCCTCATGTGTTAACACAGCTCTTCAGAAAGTTAACAAGAGATGTAAGAGGATATGTTCAGAAGGTAATTTCAAATTCAAGTTTCTGAAATGCATATTTTGCCATTTTTTATCTGATCTTTGAATTCTTATTCCATAATCCATACATCTGCAGTGTGTGGACAACGGGAAGGATGTTAATCTGCAATTTGCAATTAAAGCAAAAACAATAACCAGTGGGCTTAAATATTCGCTTGCTACTGGGAATTGGGGACAAGCGAATGCTGCTGGAACAAGGGCTGGTGTCTCACAGGTTGGTTGCACTTTTGTCACTGGATTTATGTTCTTTTATTGACGGAGGTTCTACTTGTATTGTCATGTTTATTCTTGTTATTACGTTAATGCTGTTCAAGGAGACATGGGTTGTTTGAAATTCCTTATCTTACATATGCTTCATGAAATCCGTAGGTGTTGAATCGCTTGACATATGCATCTACATTGTCACATTTACGAAGACTGAACTCTCCTATAGGGCGTGAAGGTAAATTTGTTTCTTCTATCATTGCAGATTACTGTATTTTTTTAATCTTTTCTTGTTCTGTGTTAAGTTTCATGGTGCATCATGTTCTATTTTAGCTGGTCTTCAATCTTGTGTTTAACTTTTAAACAGGAAAATTGGCAAAACCAAGACAGTTGCACAACTCACAATGGGGAATGATGTGTCCTGCAGAAACTCCTGAAGGACAGGTGAGTGTGCTAGTGCTACTTTGTTTTGTGTTATGTACTGCATTCCCTAACGAACTTGATGACAAGAAGGAAGGAATTGAAAAGATTCCTAGCAAAAAAGACGAAAAAGCTTTATTTTTATGTTGGGAAGCAAAGATATAAATGCAAATTCTGGCCCTTAATGAACCATGTACTTTTCGGATTCAAATTGAAACTCATTGTTAGCTATAATGGCACCATGCACACAGCTTCTAGTTATATCCTTCCCAGATATTTGATCAACAAGCAAAAAATGAAAAAAAGGAAGGGTATTTAATATTTTAGACAGATATAGCAGTAAATTTTTGCTAACTTTGGCACTGATAGTGAGGTGTTCCTCTGTGGCTGTTATAATAGGCATGTGGATTGGTGAAAAACCTTGCATTGATGGTTTACATAACTGTTGGATCAGCCGCATACCCAATTCTGGAATTTTTGGAAGAATGGGGTACAGAGAATTTTGAGGTAAACGTCAAGTTGTTTGAAAGGGTGTTTGTTTATCTTGCTATAATCTTTTCTTATTCGGTGCACTTTTACTTCTACATTAGGAAATTTCTCCTGCTGTGATCCCGCAAGCTACAAAAATCTTTGTCAATGGCCTCTGGGTGGGGATCCATCGTGATCCTGACATGTTGGTGAGAACGCTGAGGAGATTGCGACGACGAGTGAGTACTAATAATGCTGTTATTCTTGGTGAAAGATTTGTGCATAGTTAGATACAATCTCTTATATGTATCATCTTAAATGTTCAGGTTGATGTGAACACCGAAGTTGGAGTTGTCCGAGATATTCGTTTGAAGGAACTTCGGATCTATACGGATTATGGCCGTTGCAGTCGTCCACTCTTCATTGTTGAGAAGCAAAGACTTCTGATAAAAAAGAAAGATATCCAAAAACTGCAACAGAGGGTAAGAAGTTTGGTAGTTCATAGAATTCTAGATTGCAAACCTTTTAACTCGATGTTTAATATTTAATAATTTCTTGTCCATATCAATCCTTTTATAGGAAACCCCGGAAGATGGCGGATGGCATGATCTTGTAGCAAATGGATTCATCGAGTATATTGATACAGAAGAAGAAGAGACTACTATGATTTCCATGACCATTAATGTAAGCGATATGCCAAGAGGCGGATCAAGAAAAAGTTCCAAGCTGGGGCACAAAATAATAGACATAATCTAAAATGGAACCAAAATTAATTATAAAGAATACTGTTTAATTAAAAATGGTGACCTTGCAACACCCTTAAGTGTTTTTTTCCTTTTCTGCTGAAAATAGAAGAGGCAAAGTTTTTTGGACTTGCAATATTTAATGCCACATGCAATGACGTTGACCATATCTTGTTAAGTTATGGAAACACACATCAAATTAAAGCGGATGCATCTTTAAAACTCCTAAAATTGCACCCTCTTCTTAAATTCTCCCCTGTGTTCGTCTTTGTGTGTTTACCAATTAGTTTCATGTTTCCAAAATGTTTTTTTTTTTGGATAAATGTAGGATCTTGTAAGCGCGAGGGTAAATCCAGATGAGTCTTATTCCGACACTTATACCCATTGTGAAATCCATCCATCATTGATCTTGGGTGTTTGTGCATCGATCATACCATTTCCCGACCACAATCAGGTAAGTTTCTATGTTGAAAATACTTGTCATTATCCAATTGCATTTATCTTGTGGGCTCACGGTAATGTTTCATGTTTGAACAGTCTCCACGTAACACGTATCAGTCTGCTATGGGTAAGCAAGCTATGGGGATTTATGTCACTAACTTCCAATTTCGTATGGTATGTAGAAGTTTGTTTTCCTTCACGTATATCATGTGGCCATGCCTTGTTTTATCTTCTTACCGTTTTTGTTGCAACTTTGTTTCTTTTAGGATACATTGGCCTACGTTCTATACTATCCCCAGAAACCTCTTGTAACTACTCGAGCAATGGAGCATTTGCACTTCAGACAGCTTCCGGCTGGCATTGTGTGTATTCTAATTTGTATAAGAAGCTTTATTTTCATCCAAATACCTTCCCTGAGTTGCTATTATGCTTCTTGTAGAATGCAATCGTGGCAATTTCTTGTTATTCTGGATATAACCAAGAAGATTCCGTTATCATGAACCAATCGTCAATAGATCGTGGTTTCTTCAGATCACTTTTCTTCCGTTCATACAGGTGCTTGGTCATTTCCGAACTCTTTTTTGCTCTTTAATGTACTTGTATCTTTTTTTCTTTTCGCTCAACCTGGGATTCTCACTGAAACAACCGCTCTACTCTTTGGGATAGAGGTCAAGTCTGCGTACATTCCACCGTCCCCCAAGATCCCACTCCGGATGGGACATACTGGGTTTGTTTGGTTTAATATACTTGTAATTCTTGTACAGAGACGAAGAGAAGAAGATGGGGACACTTGTGAAAGAAGATTTCGGCCGTCCAGATAGAGCTAACACCATGGTAATCTTTGTGTTTTTGGGTCTTTTTTTGTAAACATTCAAGATTGGGCTTTGACCTTTTATGTTACAGGGTATGAGACATGGTTCTTACGATAAATTGGATGATGATGGTCTAGCTCCTCCTGTAAGTGCTCGTCTTTGTTGGTAGTATATATGGACCACGTTTGGCCACCATAAGCTAGCTTATTTTTTGAGTTCATTGAAAAAGCCCCGTTTGGTTAGACAAACTAGCTTTTTGAAAAGTTACTTCAACTAGCGTTTCAATAAGCTCCGGGGCTTTTTTTCTTTTCCAATTATGCTCCTTGTATTTTTTTTTGATATTTCAACATCTTCTTTTAGGTCATTTTACATTGTCATATAACTTATTAACTAGTTTTACTAAATATGACTAGCTTATCGAGCAACTACTAGCTTTTCAGCTAACTTATCAGCTAGTTTGCGGAAACGTAGCGTAGTTTTCCTTCTTAGCTGGATTCATCTTTATAAAAATACACAATTGTTGTAATGTAGGGAACACGAGTTGGAGGTGAAGATGTGATCATTGGTAAGACGACGCCTATCGCACAGGATGATGCTCAGGGGCAAGCCTCACGATACACTCGTCGTGATCACAGTACAAGTTTGCGTCATAGTGAAACCGGAATGGTTGATCAGGTACGTGTCTTTTTTGTTGACGGGTGTTGTTTTTTAATTGTGGTGGGGTGCTAATGTTAAAAAATCTTTACGCAGGTTCTGTTGACCACAAATGCCGATGGATTGAGGTTTGTGAAAGTGAGGGTGAGGTCTGTGAGGATACCCCAAATTGGAGATAAGTTTAGTAGTAGGCATGGTCAAAAGGGAACCGTTGGGATGACTTACACGCAAGAAGACATGCCGTGGACCGTGGAAGGCATTACCCCCGATATCATCGTGAACCCTCATGCTATCCCTTCTCGAATGACGATTGGTCAACTTATCGAGTGTATCATGGGGAAAGTTGCAGCACATATGGGGAAAGAAGGAGATGCTACACCTTTCACTGATGTGACTGTAAGTTGCCATCACCCTTCATCGATGCTACCCCCCGAGTTAGGGATTGTTTGGTTGGTTTTCCTTGAAGTCCTGTAGGGATAAAGCTGTCTGTGTGGATTAATCTGTCAGTAAAGATTGGGAAGGTTTTTGTTTGAGAGAGATTTTTCATAGATGGAATGAATGTGTTTTTAAATTGGGAGGGGTGGGTTTGAAAAAAAACTTGCCTTTCTAGATAAAGCTCCTCCCTAGAGGCTTACTGAGTAAGTCACTTTCTATATTATTAAGAAACTGCCAAATAGTCATGTATAGCTGACTGAATAAGTTGCGAGTTTCATTAAGTTGCTAACCAATTGACCCATTATGTTATATATAATGAACATGTGGGACTGTCGATAATTTGCGTTTGTATTGAAATGATCGGTTGATATTTTTTTGAATACGAGAAATACTCATGCACACTTCTCACCTTTGGTCGGTCGATGTTGTGTAGGTGGATAATATCAGCAGGGCGCTCCACAAGTGCGGTTACCAAATGCGTGGGTTTGAAACTATGTACAATGGTCATACAGGGCGACGGCTTACCGCCATGATCTTCCTTGGGCCCACATACTACCAAAGATTGAAACATATGGTGGACGACAAGATACATTCTCGAGGACGAGGTCCAGTTCAGATCCTCACCCGGCAGCCGGCCGAGGGACGATCGCGTGACGGTGGGCTCCGATTCGGAGAGATGGAACGAGATTGCATGATTGCTCACGGTGCTGCTCATTTCCTTAAAGAACGACTTTTCGATCAGAGTGATGCGTACAGGGTTCATGTTTGCGAGCGTTGCGGATTGATAGCCATCGCTAACCTCAAAAAGAACTCTTTCGAGTGTAGAGGCTGCAAAAACAAAACCGATATCGTTCAGGTAAACCATCCTTTTCCTATTTTCGGTAACCAAACTACTCCATCCGTCCCAAAATTAGCGTTCACATTTCTATTTTATTTTATAGAGTAGAAAGAAAAACAAAGACTGACATACAGTAAAAGCAGGAAAAAAATATAACCGGATATTGTATATATATGTAGGTGCATATTCCGTACGCTTGTAAGCTGTTGTTCCAAGAATTGATGGCGATGGCGATTGCACCTAGAATGCTTACGAAAGACGTCAAGCAAGCTAAAGATAGCAAAAAGAAAGGTGCTTGATACGCGCACTTTGCTTCCGAATGAGCATGATTACAAAAGCCGGTGATCGTAATTACAAGACGGTGGTTTTTTTTTGTACGGTGTATCGGCAACGTTATTATATACTGATTTAGTATTGTATCGTGAACGTACTATTATCATACAATACAAAATTCGAGTCTTTTACAAAATCTTAATTTGGTTTTCAGTGAGATATATTTGGTTCGTTTCCTTCGTTTCAAGTGATTTGATTTATTTTTTATTAGGAGAAAGTTCCGAAAAACTAACAAACTATTTGATTTTTATTTCAAACATGATATTTCATATAGTTAATGGTCATTGATTCAAGGTATGAGTGTTTTAAAAGTTAAGGGCTGTTTGATAGTTGTTGAATGATTTGGTGCAGAACGATTAAGTGGTCAGAATGATTAAGAAATTTTCATGATACACTGTAAAATAAAATAAATTATTTGGTAATTATTTATAACGAAATTAGGGCGCATAAGTTCTAAAAATGAGGTTATATTTTAAAAAATAATACGTTGATAATCCAATTGGAATTTGTACAAAATAAATTGAAGTACGAAAAGATTCATAAAGAAGCCCTTTGAGGATTCTAATCTTTCTTTGAATTTTGCAAGTGTACTCCCTCCTAAATTCACTCCAAAATCCAAAATTCGTCGGCTGTTGCGCCCACCCACTCAAGACCCTTCAGAGTTTCCGGCATATATACTTACCGGCGGTGTATCGGAGACGATGGAAGAAGACGAGGAAGCTCCACCAGGGTGGCCGTCACCACCGACACCAAAAAAGGTGAACATGGAGTCGGGAGAACCAAAAGAATTAGTGAAAGATGAGGATCATTCTGAAGAAGAAGAAGAAGAATCTAAACAAACTGAAGACGACGATGAAGATGAACCACCACCAGGATGGCAGCAGCAGCAGCCGCCGTCTCCGCCGTTGTTAGACATGATTGATCTTCCACCCTCTTCTCCATTACCTCCTACCCCCCCTCTTCCATCTTCCCCTAGAGGTATTTTGATTTTCTCCTCTCTTTTTTCTCATATCCAATTCCCAATTCCCTATTGCTTTTATTATGTTTGATCTCCCCCCCCCCCCCCCCCCCCCCCCCTCTTTTGATTGGGTGCTTAATTTACATACTGATGTAGTTATATGTAACTTGAAATCCCTTTCAATTTGAGATTCAAAACCAATTGAAGAATTGCTTATAAGTAGACCCATAAGATAAATTTTAAGATGGGACTGAACCTAAAATTGATTAGGAACCCGGATTCATCAGGAATATGGAAGTGTTATTCGTGAATAATACGTCCATAACATGTCCATATTCATCATGAATACCATTTCCATTTCCATATTCATCATGAATTTGTTATTCATGATGAATATTCATCCTGACTTTGTTATTCACCTGAATAGGGACACCAGTTGTGCTTTGTGATGTTCCGGGTTATCTAATCAATTTTGGGTCAACATGAAATTTAAGATGGCTTAGACATATAGGATAATTTGTATGGCACTTCTAAAATTTTCTAAATTATGTGTGAAGGTTCATTTCCTTTTGCTATTCATGGGCTGCACAAATTCAGGTTCTAATTATCAGTCATCTTCGACTTGAATTGATGGCTGATTGCTCATTTATGGGGTGGCTATTTTAAAGAAGTATTGGTCAATGATCAAGAGGTTGTGTTCTCTAAGAATTATCTACATGGGTGTGTGTGCATGTCTCAATTTTGTAATCACCCCCTTGAATTAGGCTTGAAAATTGTGGAAAATTAGTTTTCAAGCGGAAAATTAGTTTTCAAGCAGAAAATATGGACATAATAGTACCTGAAAAAGAGGTTCTTTTATATTTAGTCAATGATCAATAGGGTGTTCTTTAATCTTTAGTTGATCCAGTTTTCTTTAGCCATTGAAGCTAAATTTTTGTAGTTAAATTCCGAAGGGTGCTTTACTTGGAACTAGTGTTTACTAGTCTTTGTTTGACGTTTGAATTAAAACGTTTATTTTCCACCATTTTTTCTAGTAAGTTACAACCTCATAATCCGTCATGGTAAGTTTTAAGTTGTTTCATGATCTAGAAGAACTAATGTGTAGCAGCTCAGATTTGAACATGGAACAACAAGACTCAGAAGAAGAAGGACCTCCCCCCGGATGGGATAACAAATGTGAGCTAAAAGAACAAGTGGAACAGCTGGCGACACCCGCAGCTGTATCGGCGATATCATCAGGTGTATTAAGTAACCCTTCACCACTTTTCACTATTATTCTCGCTATGTACATTGCATTTAACTTCACTTTAAATCTTAAGCGTTAAATATAGAAGTGGTGGCTTTATGACTCTTTTGGTGGAACTTGAACCCATAACAGATTAGGTTGTTTAATGGACACCCTTTGATCCATTTCAGTTTTCACTTTTTTGCAGAAGAACTATATAATTGGTCAAGATGTTGATGTATAAATAGATCTTTTGTTCCACAACCCAACAAACATTAGAAGCTATGTCATCTTTGTGACTTGACATTATCGAGTTGGGTAGGGGGTACAAGCTCTCACTTCAAGAGACCTAATGTTGAAAGACGAGTTTGATTGTTTGTTACACGTTTACGGCCTACTTAAGATTAGCGGTTCACTTGGGGTTTTCCTTGAAACATTATGTATGTCACATTTGCACAAAGAACAAATGTATAATTTACTCTAGCAAAGGTAAGTGGGTTGATATAACTCCAATGCAACCACGGAAAGATAAAAGAGTTAAGTTATGAGTGAAATCCTCCATGGTGAATCTATTTTTTTATCTTCATGCCTACATTATATCTGTATTTGGCATCCTCACAAGAGTAGTCTTTGCACTTAGCGACTCGTCATTGTCATTAACATTCTGGTAGCTTGCTAAAATCCATTTATCCTTTGAATGCTTGGACTGAAGGAGATGCCATTGAATGATAATGATTGAGTTGACATCTAGAATATGGTTCAAAGCAAAAAGGAGATAATTGCTAGAAGAGATTTGTATGTAATTAGGGTTTAAACTGAATGCATTCCATCAATGAATAAGAGAGTATGTATAGCATGATACAATACATAGGTCTTTGGGTCGACTTAGAGAATAAGAAAAAAATCTAAATCAAACTATATTTGACACATGCATGTTGGAACCCTAACAAAAGCTAACATAACTAACGTTCCTCCTCAGATTGGTGCATAGATATTGATCGTGCCAATTTGCAGCGATTATAATCAATCTGGCTGCACATGGGTTTGATTAGAATATTAGCTAACATTCCATACGGGTGTGAATTGGTTGAGAATTTATAGAATAGTGGAGGCATGTTGGAGTCCCATCAATGTACTATGTAAGGCGACAATCAACCTTAAAAATGTTTGTTCCATTCTCTCATAGAATATTTGTTTCTTGGCCTTTTGAATAGCCGTCTAGTTATCATAATAGAGCTTCATCAAATCAAGTGTAGGGACCAAGGTTTTAAAAGGCAGAATCGGGCCTTGAGGCGTTTTCCCTTAACGAGGCGAGGCGTAAGGCCGGAGGCAGAAATATATTTACACCAAAATATGTATTTATACTACACAAATATATATACATTTATATACAATATATATATAGTACTAAATTACTAAGGGCGTTGGTTCAGTGGTTCTCTCCTTCTCAAAGTTGCTTCTCTCTATCACCAAAACTTTTTCTAAGTTAGATATTTGCTTTGAAAGTTTTAACATTTATCATCTTTCAAAAACTTTCAAGTAGATAAACTTTCTCAAGTAGCAATTCCTCGGCAACTTTCAAGTTGTTCTCTAGTCTTGCTTCAAGAACTGCAATTTTGCTTTCAAAATCTTTATGACATCTAACCCAATAGCCATTGCTTCTCTTGACGACATTGTGATATAAACTTGAATGATCGTAGAACAACGATTTGAATTAATTCAACAAAACAGACAATCCATTGAAGTCAAACAAAGTCAACCAAAACACTTTGTCACACAAAACAGTAAGATTACCGAACCCTTGAAAGATATCGCACAAATTTAATATGCGACAAGTATTGTGCAAGGAGTTTATCGCACAACACATATGCGATAAACCAAGTGGGTAAAGTCTATTGCACAACACATATGTGATAAACATTGTTCACAAACTTTGTCACACAAAGCTATGCGAAGTACCACTTTGTCGCACACTACTTGATCGAGGAACCAAGTTTGTCGCACACTACTATGCGATGAACCACACTTTATCAGACACTACTTATGCGATGAAACTAAGTTGTCGGGTAAGACTTATGCGACAACTTACTGTTCAAAACCTTGTCGGATAACCTGCTTTTATCGCACACAACTTGTGCGATAACTATGAAGATACTCTATGCCACAACTTTGAAGATCTTGAAAAATTCAACTCAAATCCGTGATTTTCTGCCCAAAACTCATCCAAATGTAATGAATTTTTGATATGTTGCTCGAAATTTGATTACAAACACCTTTAAAACTTGAAGTTTATCAAGAACAACCTAATTCGAATACTGTTGACCAAACAGAGTCAAAACAGTCGAACAAAAATCTTTCACAAAAATCTTTCACAAAAATCCAAAATTCTGATCAAAACCTGGTTAGTTGCTGAAATAAACCACTCAGAGTTGATTTTCTATCAAAAACGGGTAGAATAACACAAGAATTTCGATCAAGAACACACAAAATCACAAAATTCAATCTTCAACAGTTGATTTCAACTTCCTTTAAGAACACGATCAATTAACCCAAATCTGCTGATCTTTTGCTCTCATACCAATTGTAGATTCCAGTAAAACAATATATGAACAAAGAATCAAGATTAACAATGGTGAAATAACAATATTATTGATAGAGAGAATATGTTGTCATCACAGATTACAATGATACGCACACTGAGTTCTTACGATGAAAGCTCACATCTAAAACTAACAAGACGAAAGCTTTATGTACGCCTTAGGATATTGTACACGGTAAGCCCCTCAACTTCAATACAATTATAAAATGACCTAACAGTGATGAAGTTGAAGATGATACAATACCTTTGGAACAGGTTACGCATAAGCAAACATGTAGAACTTCTAGAATTGGAACTTTAGTTGCATTAAGAAAAGTACTATAACTATATTTAAACTTAAAAAAACTAATTGTCTTGGTTATGTTTTTAAGACTGATGAATTATTAATTTATGATATCGAAGGGACCTCAAAGCTGTTTTGAAAGAGGTCTATGTAACATTACACGATAATTTTAGTGTTTCTAATTTACTAATCAATTTTAAAGATTTGCTCGAGTTTTATTCTGTTAAGTTGTACTTGTGGAAAAATGTTCTCTTTAATTCTTTCATCGATTTTAAAGTGGACATTTTTATTGAGATGGAAGGAGCGTTATGTAAATCTGAGGTAAGATGTGTTCTAATGAGTAGACATATCAGATATAAAGAGAGAAGATGCGCAACAAGATGCCCGAGATGAAGATGGCTCCCAACCACAAGTACAAGAACATACTAGTTCAGCACCAGAACTAGTTCCATCAGGTGAATCTTTTCGTTATTTTTTGTTAACGCTGATAAGTTTCATGATATGCAAGAACTAACATGTGAAAATTAAAAACTCAAGATATAAAAGTGGAGCAAGAAGACTCGGAAGATGAAGGACCTCCACCCGGATGGGATTCCAAATGTCAGATTGAACCCAAGTTACAAATGGAATGTCAAACAACTCCTCTATCAGGTCAGTATGATTTTTTTTAATTAATTGATTTTAATATTTTATTATTTTTAACTTATGAGCATAGATATGATCATGGGATTCTAAAGTGGTTTTTAAATTACCTTTAATTTTAAAGATAGACTCGAGTGTTATTCCGTCAATTTGTACTCATAGTTGTTAAAAGTGCGTCTAAGGCATGCCTTGGCGCTGAGGCTCATAAGGTTCAAGGTGTTGGGGTTTTTTAAAGTCGAAGCTAGGTGTATTCACGAGGCTCACTAAGGAGCTGCACCTTCGCCTTGTGGCCTAGGCACGCCTCATATAGAGTCATTAAATACCTAGTCAAACCCTAATACTAAATAAGTTTCTCATCATCTCATCTCTTAGACTTCTTTAAAAAGAGTTATTAAATAGATGACACAAGTCAAATGCTAATATTAAATACACAATTCTTAGAACTTCAAGCCTCTTCTCTATAAGTACCTAGATCAGTAGATCTTAAAACTTCTCCCTCACGGCTCACGCTTTAAACCCTTCCCCCTTCTGCCTCTATCGAAGTACCGTTGGTTGTTGCATTGGAGGTTTGTACTTGCTGCATATATGAGTTGCGTGTAACTGTGTGTCCTTATATATATATATATATATATATATATATATATATATATATATATATATATATATATATATCTAGGGCCAGGTTCAAGGGAGAACCACAAAAAAATGAAAAACTGAGGAACACGTTGGTTCTTCATTTGTATGGTATGCATATGTGCATACAAGTAACTTGTGAGTATTGGGGTGAGTAGCGGAACCGGGTACCCACTTGCGGAACCGGAACCGATATGAGTGGTTCCGGTTCCAGTTCCTAAAATATGGAACCGATTGAGAATGGTTCCGGTTCTCAATTTTTTGGAACCGTTACCCGCCGGGACCGGTTCCGGAACCAGCTACCCGGAACCGGCAGGTACCCTGAATTTTCGATTAAACAAAATCATTAATTTTTTTTAATCCTAAATTTAAATTAGGTCAAGAACTTGGAGCTATAGATTCAAATTTGAGATAAAATTATTTGTATTTTTTCAAATTGTGTGTTTAATTGGATTCGTAGTATGTAATCGTTAAACTTTCAACATTTATTATTAGTCTATTATGGTTTGTAATCGTTAAACAATATTTGTAACCATTATTCTGTATAATTTGTATTCTTGTTTATTTATTTAGTGTTTTGTCAATGTTTTATTTTTTATTTCTAAATAACAAAATTTTAATATTTTAGGAAGCGGGTACCGGAACCGGTTCCTGGCGGTTCCGGTTCCAAAAATAAGAACCGCTCTAACCGGTTCCGGTTCCAATATCTCAAGAACCGCCGGTTCCGGTTCCTGTCAAATAGGGCGGGTACCCGCCTATGCTCACCCCTAGTGAGTAATTTTTCTGGTATGCACCATAACATGCACACGTGCATAACATGCACACATGCATAGAAACCAAGAAACAACTTCAATTACTTGTACGCACATGTGTATATCGTACAAATGAACGGTTACCAGAGCGTTCCTTGGTTTTTCATTTTCTTTTTGGAGGTTTTCCCTTGAACCTCTGTCTATAGATATACAGGGTCAGGTTTAGGGCAAAACCGCAAAAAAATAAATAACTGAGAAACACTCTAGTAACCATTCATCTGTTTGGTGTGCATACGATGATACAAGTAATTTCTAAGTAATTTTTTCAGTATGCACATGCACACGTGCATGAAACTGGGAACCATCTTCAATTACTTGTATGCACATAGGCATACCGATGAATGGTTACTCGGGTGCTCCTTAATTTTTCATTTTTTTGGGCGTTTCCCCTGAACCTCACTACATAATGGAAACGTGATCGATGTGAACAGATTCCAATATAAAATCATGGGATAATTACAATTAATAAAATAACATAAAAATAATAAAAAAATATCTAGTTACATTACTACTCTTATTGATTTATTTTTATATATTATAATTTAAATTATTGGTTAAAAAGGTTAGAGACTCACACTGTTCTCACATTTTTGCAAAACCGAAGGTTTCTCGTTTGAACTCTCGTCTACATACTCATAAGATGCGCCTCGCATTCCTGAGGCCCGCGCCTTGCGCCAAGGGCCCGGGACCCCTTTGCGCCCAAGTGTGCTTTGAGCCTTTAACAACTTCGTATTTTTGTCAATAAACATCGTCTTTAATTATTTCCTCGATTTAAAAGTGGACTTTTCTATTGGGATGGAAGTAGCGTTATGTACACCTGAGCTAAGACATGTGTCCTAACGAGTAGACATATCAGATATAAAGAAAGAGGATGTGCAACAAGATGGTAGGGATGAAGATGGCTCACAACCACAAGCACATGAACATCCTAGTCGAGCACCAGAACTAGTTCCGTCAGGTGAATCTTTTTGTTGTTATTGTAGCAACTGATTCATTTGAAGGAATCCTGTTTAGTTTTTTAACACTAATAAGTTTCATGATATGCAACTAACATGTGAAAATTGAAAACTCAGATATAAAAGTGGAGAAAGAAGACTCGGAAGACGAAGGACCTCCACCCGGATGGTATTCCAAATGTCGGCCTGAACCCGAGTTACAACTGGCGAGTCAAACAACTCCTCGATCAGGTCAGTTAAAGAACTCTTTTAATTAATTACTTAAAATATATAACTTGTATGGAACACACTTCACCTGTCTCTTAAGTCTTCTTGCTTGACCATTAATATATATGGTCACATGAAATGTTTTGTAGAATCACTTAAAAAATAATTCATAACTCTTTTTTTTCACTTTTGGAAAGAGGCATGTGCTCCCTACCCCTGAAGGGTGCATCTGCCTATGGGTGTTAAGACTCTCACATCGACTGCACTTGGACTGTTCTCCTCAATATATATTGGAACCCCCATCCTCACCTTAGAGGACTCTTTTCGAGAGTAATCCAATGGGGTTATGCATATTCTCACAGAGATTTCAAACATCGGTCACTCGTCTACTAAATGATTTATGTTGGAATTTTCTTGGATTCTGGTATTTATCCCGATTATGGTGTATTTTTAAGCGATCAATCATATTGACCCACTAGATTTTAAGATGGAGAATGATCAACAAGACACACAAGATGAAGAAGGCCCCCCTCCCGGTTGGGGATCCACTACTCAGCAACAATCACAAGATCATTCAAGTTTTCCATCACCAAAAGTTCCATCAGGCAAGTCTTTTATCACGTCACTTTAACATTTTTTTTTTCCTTTCAAGTCTATTTACACCTTCGTTTGAAGTTTCTTTTTTGTGATGGAGTGTAGATTTCCTTTCTATGAATATCATTGATTGCGATTCATCATTTGTGGCTGCATATACATGCATAGGGGAAGGGTTAAATGAAACAATAAATATTTTGAGAACCGTGAGAACCAATATGCATATACTCTATATGAATTTCAATGAGTATATGGAGTATATACTAATTGACACATATGTAGACTCCATTTTATGGGAAAACCACGACAAATGGAAAAGCGAGGAACACTCTAATAACCATTCATTTGTCTGGTATGCACATGTGCATAAAAGTAATTGACAATGTTCCCTGGTTTCTGTGCCCGCTTGCATTTTATGCACATGTGCATACCGGACGAATGAATGATTATTAGGACATTCCTCAGTTTTTCATTTTTTTCTGTGGTTTTTCCATGAAACCAACCCTATATATAGGGTTGGGTATTATATATCGGGTTGGAGTCACGTGAGACCAACCTGTTTTCGTGAGACCACAAAATAACACTCAGCAAAACACTGTGAAGGTACAAAAAACACCGAACCTTCACAACAAAAAACACTGTGTTGTTTAATGTTATTTATGTGGTCTCATGGGTCTCACGAAAATAGCCTGGTCTCACATTATCCCAAGTCTACCCCCTCCCTATATATATTTGATGGTATATATGCATCAATGGATATTTATACATACTTTAATGGTTCTTAAAATGTGTATGGTTCTCATTTGAACTTTCCCCTACATGCATATTTGTTTGTCGGTGGGCTTAATAGACGTACCTTTTCATACATTCATTCAATAAGGGATTGACGAAAGAGAATACCTCCTTGTAACACATGCCACGTGGCATGGCACACCGTTACTAAGAATTCGTATGCATAATAGATATACAACTTAACCATTATTTGTTTGTTAGTCGAAACAAGTTTAGTAGGGTTTACTAAAGGCTCCATATATTTAATCATAGTATCTACAATATGTTATTGCTCTTTTCTTGACCATATTACCCCTAAATCCACTTGATGCTCATCATGAGAGCTTTGCATGCTTCATTAAATAGTATTTCTATGTGATAAGGTACAAGAATGGGGTGTGAACAAAATAATGTCAAAGTTGTGGAAGAAAGACCTCAACAACCTTCAAGGCAACCATCTGTTCCTCCAACCAAACCACAAATATCGGCGCCAAAACCACCAACGGCGGGAAATAATCCTGGTGAGTTCGTTTCTACATGCAAATCTCGTTCTCTTTTTTCAAAAGAAATCGACATTGGTCTATTTGAGTGTAAAGTGAGTTACTTTTTTTTAGTTTTAGAATTAACAAGAATCTAGAATGATCATTTTATTAAAAGTGTAACGTTCTCGTCAGTTCTAGATTAAAAGGTAAAGTGTTCGAATTCTAAATATGATTATTTCATCTTACGGTGCGTTTGATATGCAAGACATGGCTTAGTGGGACAAAGATGCAGTTTTTTATCCCACCAAAATAGGTGGAGCAAAAATCAGGGAGATGTGACAAGATCGGTAAATTACTAAACTACCCATGTCAAATTAAAACCCCTAAAACTTTGTACAATTCTTTCACCCGCCTACCCCACTCTCGTCCATTCAATTCTGTCCAGTCCCGACTGTGTACCAAACGCACCCTTATGGAAAAGAGTGGGTGTTTATTGGTAGAATTTTCTATGTGCATGAAGGATTCTTTTGAACGAAAAGGAACCTATCCATAAATGTACAAATTTTTTCTTCACTTCCCTAGGGGTATAGTTGAGCTGAGATGAGCTTGAGCTTGCTAGGCTTGAGGTTTGGCTTGTGAGATTGGGCTCGCTAAAGAAAAAAAAAACTTTAGGCTGAAGCCTTGGCTTGGCTCTTATGGGCTTGTATAAGCTCAAGTCTTGATTTTGCATGTAAAGGATTGGTTCCTATCAGCTTGTATAGGCTTGAGCCTTGGCTTAGTCCATGTAGGAGGTTAATGCTGGTGGAATAAATACATATAAATTACACTATCGCTCGTATAGGCTTGGCTCATTAAGTTGTGTCACTTATGCTTACCAAGCTTTCAGATGAGCTGGCTCTTGAGCCGGCTCTTGCATGCAATATATACACACACACACACTCATTTTCTAAAAATAAAACAAAAATTAATTTTAAAAAATACGTTTGATTAAAAAATTACATACAAGTTGGTTTTTTGCAACACCCAAGTGGTTTTTTCCTTATTTTCTGCTAATGTTACCAAAAATTAAGAAAAAAGAGGCAAAAAGATTCGAACTTGCAACCCGCAATGGACTAGAAGATGATGGTTATGCCAAGAAATTTACGTGAATGGTATAATATTCATGAATTGACATAAATTTTGCTTAAAAAGTTGAATAATGTTTTTTTGTTTAAATGTTTGTGTATTATTGACCCGACCCTACTTTTGTGTGGCATTTACTGGGATCGTTTGGTTTTATCTGTGTATTGCTGGTAATGTGATCCTTTTTGTGTTCATATCTCCTCATGCGAGTAATGGTATGATTTAATGCAGAAATGGGACAAATGGTGTGTGGTTCTTGCCGCCGATTACTTAGCTATCCAAGAGGTGCTCGATATGTCGAGTGTGCATGCTGTTTGGAAGAGAATTACGTCCTTGAAGGTCCATTCTTCCCTTTCTAATGAGTCGAGTCGAGTCGAGTTGAATAGCAGGTTGTTCGTGCTCAGGTCGAGAAAATAATATTAGTCTCGAGCTCGTATAAATTTTCAAAACTTTGCTCGGGGTCAAATTTTTATCCAATGTTTGAGCTCGAGCTCGATGCTTGTTTAACAATTTTGAGTTATAAATTATGACCTAAAATTTAAGCTCTATAAATATTCTTATGGGCTCGAACTCGGATCAAGAGACATGTTTATTGGCCTGAGCTCACACACACACACATATATATATATATATATATATATATATATATAAAATATATTTGTGTGTGTGTGTCTAGGGGCTTAATCATTTGAGAGCTCCAAAATTTGTGGGATCCATGAGAACTTCTACCTTAAGGTTTTGTTTCACATGATCGTTTTCCATCTAAGTAGAGTATTTAATGTGATCAATATATATTTGTTTCACAATTTGTTTGTTTCATATGTGTTCGGTTCACAATATGAAGCTTTTTTACATGTATTTTTTGTTTCACAAACCCGCCAAAAAGGTTTACATTGTGAACCGAGTACATGTGAAACAAACACATTGTGAAACAAATATAATATAATCACTACATTAAATTCTAGCCATAGATGAAAAAGATCATATGAAATAGCACATGATGCATTGTTTCTCAAAGACCTCATGATCTAGAGAGTTCTCAAAAAAATCTCCATCGTCTATCTATCTATATATATATACATGTAGGCGAAGGATCGTTTGAGAAGGAGAGTTAACATGAGAAGTGTAAGGAGGGATTTGGACCCTTGATCACCTTTAATCTCGAACCCACCCATGAATCGCACTTGATACGAGGATTGATCTTGTGCATCGCGGTGCATCTCATCCTAAGGTGCATCCAAGAGTGGAGATCTCTTCTTACGCTTCTCATATTAACTCTCTTTCTCACCGGAACCCAACCCTGTACATGTATATGTATATAGGTTAAGGATCATGTGAGAAGGAGAGTTAAGGTGGGAAGCGTAAAAAGGGATCTGGACCCTTGATCACTTTTAATCTCAAACTCACCCATGAACCATGAATGATACGGAGATTGATTAGGTGCATCTCGATGCATCTCATCTCGGTGCATCTATCCTAATGTGCATCCAAGGGTGGAGATCTCTTCTTACGCTTCTCACCTTAACTCTCCTTCTCAATGGAACCCAACCTTATTTGTTTGTGTGTGTGTGTATATATATATATATTTTTGAAGTATATAATATTTATATGCGGCAAAACTCACACACACTTCTCACATTTGGTGATGCTTGAACCCTTGACCTCTAAGGAGATTGAGATCAAACGGTAACCCGGAAGCCTCTATGCCGTTAACCCTTTGGCTAATTTGTATATTTCAATTTTATGAATTATGAACAATGCTTGGCTCGAAAAAACGTATGCTTTTGTCTCTCCTTGACTCGAGTCGAAAAATTTAATCAAGCTTTTGAACGAGCCAAGTAGAACATTGGTGTTATCGGGCTCGACTGGTTAAGTTAAACAAACTTCGTTTGTGTTCGAGATTGATTTGAGCTTGAAATTTATTAAGCCCATGCTCTAGTAGTTGTTGAATGTTTGAATCGTTAACACCCCTAATCATAACGGTGAATTTGGTTTGTATATCAGTTGGATTCATTATTGACATTAACGATTATTTTGCAGAACACGAAGTAGGGCAAGTCGTATGTGAAGGTTGTAACGTGTTGCTTATGTACCCTTATGGTGCACCGAAAGTTAGATGTGCGAATTGCCGCACCGAAACCGAAATCATAGTATGTTTTTATAAGTATATATATACACACACACAACAAATACTCATGCACACTCTGTTGATCTTGTTTTTGGTGAGGTTTGTACCATTGACCTTAATCCGGGTACTGCTGGACAATGACCGTTTGGTAAATCGGAGAATGTTCTCTTACCTCGCCACTACACATCCACGCTCGTTGGACCTATGTTGCGTTTTTTTGGTGATCTTTCCGCTATGCTTTAATGCTTCCTGTATGTGTGCAGGATCAAAATCGACGACCACCGCTCTCTGAACAGCGAAGGCGAGTCAAAAGACACCTAAAGCGTATGCAATCGGGATGAAATATATGATCCTAGGTTAATATTGATAGCTCATAGGCCAAATGCTTCGCCCATCGTAAAGAAAAGATAGATTCAGATATCCCTTTGAAGCGTTTTCGCCAAAAACTCGTATATTCGTACATTCTAACACCTTATAGGTTGTGGGTTTGATCGTTTTTTGTCGTTTGCTTATTCTAGATAAATTACAATGCAGGATTACAGAGCGTTTTGTATCGAACGAGCGTTGTATGCAATTTTTGGTTATGACAGTCCTGGATCCCGATCGCTAAAAGAAACATTAACAGATTAAATCATATATTGTAAATATAAAAGTAAGCTTTACTGTTAGATATATGTGAGGAGGAAATTAGTAAGGGGCCGTTTATCAAACACTTACCCGTTAAGTGTTTACTGCTAAAATTTAACACTATTATGTATTTAGCGGGTAAGATTTTAATCTATCGTGGTAAGAGTCGTCGTTTTCACTTACCGGATAAGACTCTTGATCATTGTCTCGCTCTTACCGGGTGAGATTCTTTCCGGTGAGGTAATATTATTTGGTAAATGTTTACCCGGGTAAGCGTTTGGTAAACGGCCTCTAAGTAACTGTGCATTTAGTTAATAGAAGCATATCCAACAAATTCTCAATAATTACTTTAAGATAAAATTAAGATAAAAATTCAGAAGTTAAAAACTCGAAAAAAATTATATTCAACTCGAATAGAATTTTTTATTTTAAAGATTTCAACATAATAATATTAAAATAGGATCAAGTTAAAAAAAACCCATAAAAAATGAAAACCGAAGAATGTTCTAATATCCATTCAATTATATGGTATGTATATTCTCATATACAAGCAATAATTCTAGTATGTACATGTGCATAGAAATTAGAAGATATTTTCAATTACTTATATGTACATGTCCATAAAAAAAACATAAAATATCTTCAATTACTTCTATATACATTTGCATACTGTATAAATAAATGGTTATTATAATGTTGATCAATTTTTCATTTTTTTTAAATTTCCCATAAAACTCACTCTATGAAATATTATATACACATTCTAAAAAAATTATTTTAAATAATAACAATTTTATTTTATTTATCGGTAAGAATAAAACAATTTATTTATTTATTTTCACATCAA